TTACCCGCAACCTTGACACGGACACGGAAATGGGAGACGGCAATGGATGTGAATGGGAATGGAAATCTGGTTGGACACACGGACCTTGACACAGACTGAGGCTTGGATTATGGTTGGGAATTGGTTTGGAGATCACGTGGTTAGAGTTAGCCAATCAGAGAGTGAGACAAGGTTGCGCCCAGTATTACCCGCAACCTTGACACGGACACGGAAATGGGAGACGGCAATGGATGTGAATGGGAATGGAAATCTGGTTGGACACACGGACCTTGACACAGACTGAGGCTTGGATTATGGTTGGGAATTGGTTTGGAGATCACGTGGTTAGAGTTAGCCAATCAGAGAGTGAGACAAGGTTGCGCCCAGTATTACCCGCAACCTTGACACGGACACGGAAATGGGAGACGGCAATGGATGTGAATGGGAATGGAAATCTGGTTGGACACACGGACCTTGACACAGACTGAGGCTTGGATTATGGTTGGGAATTGGTTTGGAGATCACGTGGAATTGGTTTATCAGTACCTATGTCTATTACATTAAAATAAAAAGCTACATTCGAAGGACAAGTATTATGTTTTCCTTAATATGTGGAATCTAAAAAAAGAAAAAAGATGGCAGAGGATGACTATTATTAGACTCGAGAAAGGAATAAGGATGGGGTAGGGGGTGTGAGGGAGGGTAACAGGGAAACGGATGTGATCAAAATGTTATATGCATGTATAAAAATACCACATTGAAGCCCTATTTTACAAATTAATGGGCTCTACTAAAATAAATTTTAAAAATTAAATTTGAAGCTGAGAGGCAACTACATAATGAAGATGGCACTTAAACCCAGGCCTTCCTGAAAAGCTCCCTGTCATTTTATATTGTTACCATCCCATAGTGAGATGTTAAGAGGCCTAGTCCAGACCTTTATGACAGAGGCAAACAAAGAGGGATGAGGAAGAGTTACTGGGACACTTCTTCAGAGGAATTTTTTTTTGGGGGGGGTGGTACTGGGGATCGAACTCGGGTCCTTGTGCTTGCGAGGTAGGTGCCAGAACCACTGAGCTAAATCCCCAACCCCAGAGGAATTCTTTTGACTGGTCATTAACTGGGATTTTTTTGCACCCTAGAGCTACTAATACTGACAATTATGTTTTAGAAAGTGGGAATGTGGGACTTTCTCTACTAGGTTTTTGAGGGGAGATTTCTAGGGATCCATAAGATTCAGGATAAAAGAACCGTTTGTTTTGTAGAAGGGGAAACTTGGAAAATTTTATAGCTTTAGATTAGTGATATTGGATGAGATTTTAAATTGGAATGTAGGAGTTCATTCCAAATTTTGATCTGGCACTCAATCTATAAAACCCTGTGTATTGAAGCAATATTCTGCCCACCCTATCTATCTGATGTGTCATTCGAGGTTTTGTTGCTGTGCAATAATAAAAACAATGGTTTGGATCACAAATTAAAAAGGAATGCACATAATCTATTGTCAGCTATTTGCATTTATGAGAATATCACTACAAATAACTAAAAGCAGGCCATGGATTTAGCTCAGTGGTTCCGCCACCTATCTCGGAAGCACAAGGACCCAAGTTTGATTCCGGTACCAAAACAAACAAACAAACAAAAAATCTAAAAGCAGTCTAAATATTTTAAACTAGATATTCCGATCTCCTTTCTGACAAGCAGACAAAAATGTCCTGAAAACTACTGAAGTGGCACTTGGAGGGCAGGCAGACCAAGGAAGAGAGCAGCACTCAGAGAACTGAAGGGAAAAGCAGGATTATCAGCACCAGCAGGCCCATTGGAAGTCACCTTCCATAGTCTGAGCCGTTTCTCCATTTGTTCTCATATTTATCTGTTCTTTAGCCAGGTTTGGGGAGCAAGCAGAATTTTACTAAAAGCTAACAGTTCTCCTTAGCTTTTTTGTCACCTCAGGTTCAAATTTAGAACAAAATATGGGGAATGGCAGAAATATCCTGAAATTTAGTCTCACTGAGGCACTGGACAATTTCTCTGTCAAGCATCTCAACCACAGTTAAAGATGCCAGGCTGTGATATAAGTAAAGTAATAATGGTCTACACGTATGATAATCTTGAGTTTTAGCCTGAGCTGTTTCTTGCTCAGATTACTCCTTTCTGAGCTTATTTACTAGTTATAAAATAAGAAGGCTAAAATGAATGTTGCACTAAAGCCCCTTCTAGCTTTTAAAATTCCAGAGCAGGATGTATTGGTTTGTTTTGGTACTGGGGATCAAACTCAGGACCTTGTGCTTGTGAGGCAGGTGGTGGCTCCACTTAGCCAAATCCCCAGGAGGATGTATTAACTTTTTTGGTGGGTTGCTGGCAGACACTCTGCTGCCTAGTGTTCATATTTTAGGGTGTATAGTTGGGAGATCGGTGAAGCCCAACTTTAGGAACTGTTTTACTCCAGGGCCAAACATCAGCAGCTGCAGCAGATGAAAGGAGGGTAAGTGCTCTATGCTTAGAGCTTGACTAAGTGGCCAGCTGGCTGTCCACTGAGAAAGACTGTGCTTCTCAGGACCTCTCAGAGACATGCACAGGTGCCTACCTACCAACAAGTGAATAGGAAATCCTCCTCAGGTAAACCAGGCAAACTGGACCTGAAAGCTGTCAGATTAGGAGATTGACTGTTGGTGTACTCTGGCAAGGAAAGAAAAATAATGTGATAAGGTACTGATATTGGTTAGGCCAAACTAAGGTCTCTGGACACTCAGTGGAATACTTGAGTATTTCAACAGTCATTATCCCAATTCAGTCACTTTCAGAGGCAAGCCTCGCATTCAGATTCTGGGGAAAGGCGTCAATTGTCCCAAGTTACATACATCTCAAGAGTTGAAGCCATAAGGAAGACAAGAAAAGGTCTTTTAAGCAGCCTGTGGTTTTTGAAAGGAAGAATGTGGAATCTCTGTTAAAGGGTTTCAGACATTCCCAAAACTTGTACTCCAAAGATAGAGATGAGAGAAATCAGCTGAAGAGGGGTGAATAAAATGTGCTGTCAAATGGTGGGAGTCCCAAAGTGAAATTGGCAGATGTGAAATATATGCAGTGAGATCCTGAGCACAAGCAAATGGTCTTCTCCAAGGAGGGTGGGTTTTACCCAATGCTTATTACCTGTATTACGATTTGATCTAAAATGGCCTCCAAAGGTTCATGTGTTTAGAAGGTGACTGGATTATAGCGCACTCTGGGTGACTTCCTGTTAGGAGATGGGGATCTCGTCAGAAGATGTAGGTCACTGAGGCATGCTCTGGGAAGGTGTTATCTCCCTTCTTGGGCTCCTCCCATCATTGTCAGCTTCCTGGCTGCCATGAAGTACACAGCTCAGGTCACTTCTGTCATACTATTGCTATATTTAAGCCAGCCAAACATGGGCAGAAACTTCTCCACTGTGAATTAAAATAAGCCTCTCCTCCTTTAAGTACCAGGTATCAGGTATTTTGTCCCAGCAAACAGAGGAAATGATAAGACCATATGCTATACTGTTTTTCTTACCCCCTGTACTGGAAATTGAACTCAGGACCTTGCACTTGACAGGCAGGTGTGGGTTCTGCTGAACCCACCAGCCCTGCTACATTGTTTTGGCACATGACAAATGATATTCAAATTTCAGTTTAAAATGCTGGTTTAAATTCTATAGGCTAGTTTTCAAGCAAAGAGAAAGCTGTTGATGACAACCTATCATTTTGGGACAAATATGCTAATAATAACCTATAAAAAGCTCCTGAAAACCTGTTTAAGTTATTTATGAGAAGACACAAGGATTTTGCGCTAAAAACACAACCTAGACAATTAGTTACCATTCATCAAGGAAAGCTTTCATGTTGGTTTTAAAATCTGGAGGGGCTGGTACAGGTTACCTTCCCCACTTTGCTTTGGGAAACTGGCAGCCCATTCCCTCAGATGTTCCGTTTTCCTTTTTTAATTTTTTTTGAGGTGCTGGGGGTCGAATCTAGGGGCTTGTACATACTAGTGGTTTCCATTTTTGAGACTCATTATTCTCCAGTTTAGAGAAAAATCTGGCAAGCTGCTCCAAAAAGTAATCCTAAGAAATACATAAAAGATACATGATTTGGCTTCCTTTCCCAAAGAAAAAGGACAGTGCTTATTACTGTGTCTGGATTTCCTTTATATCTCACTTAGAATACATCTTGCAAGTGAATAATGACAACAGGAGTGAGACAGCCATCCCAGCCCTCTCAGGAATATATCTTTAGAGGAAAAGAAAATTGTAGGGATCTGCAGTGGTAGGACTCAAGAAGTCTGAGTTCCTCCTTCATCAATATTCAATTATTTGAACAGCTAGAGACAGACACAAGCTTTACCAACAGTATCAGCCAGGGTGGGGAATAATTGCCAGGTTCACCATTTATGTTCCCTTTTCAAGACTTGCGTACTTTTGGAAGACAATTAACAGGTAGGTTTATAGTCCACTTAAATTGATACAGAGGCCATAAATTAAATAAATGGGATTATAACTTGTGAATAAATATAACAGTGAGTCTATTTAGAGGTATTTCTATTAACATTTTAGTATTAACATTAAAATTGGAAGTGTAAGGATTATAAATACAGAAAATACAAAATGTCCATGATTAGCTTATATTTTTATTGAACAGTGGTTGAGAATGAAATAAGGAAAATTAATTTGGTGAAATAACTCTTTCAAAATCATGTCTGGTAGCATGGTCTTGCGTGAATGATTTGTCATTAAGTGCCAACAGAGGTCAGAGAAAATATTCTCACAAAACCTGGAAATTTAAGCATCACACAAGTATCAACTTTCTTCTCACTTCAAATAAGAAAATAGTAAGTGTATGGAAATTTACTTATCTTGACAAGCTAGAAATAAGCTCTCACTTTCCCTTATAAACTAATGCCCTGTGTTCCAAATCAATTCTACATCAAATTGCTTACAAAACGAATCTGCTAGCATTTTCCCTTGGTGCCACATAAGTCTGAATATTAACTCAGACTTTACAATCTTAAATGCAGCGCTAACACAGCAGCTCAAATGCTGAGGACAGGAATGGATTATTCTTTTTAACTAGTACCACTTTCCTTGGCTTTTGCCTGATGATCTCATTTTCAAGTCAAAACATTACTTAACATTTAAAAAAACATTATAAAGTATATCTTATTCTATTTCAGCTCTTCAAAGGGTGGAGGAGTTTCTCTCGAAGGAAAGCTGGGGTGCTTACCAAAGGCATAGGAAAAAGAGGGTGATACTTGCTTGTTCGTTTCTGAGTCTCCACTGCAACCTAGCACTTTACTTGGCACACAGAAACTCAATAAATGCTGTTAAGAACTAAATCGGATGGCTGAGGAGTTAGGACTCTGTGTCTTCAAACTTCTCCCTTTTTTTGATGGTAGTGGTGGTCGTTTCACTTATGTTTGATGAGTAGGTGTGTGAGAAAAGAAAAAGCTTCCCTTTTTTTCCAAAGAGAAATTCTCCCATTTCAACCCACTATTTCAGTATAACTGGATAACGTCATCCCATTCTGAAATAGGCCAGATTCCATTGGGCTGCACATTGGGTGGAGAGTTCTTCCAGTCCCATGTCTTTATAGGAATCTTCCAGCTCTTACCATAGTTGGCTTCGATATATTCAATGGTTTCACATGGCACACGGACCTTCATGTCTACAAACTCAGTCCAGCACAGTGTAAACTTGGGAAACAGGTATCTACAGCAAAATAAAAGCAATGTGGAGAGGAGTTAGGCTTATATAAGGGGAGGTCTAGCTAAAGAACCCAGATGCTAGTACATTCCTGACGTAAGGATAGCCCTCTACCACTAACCGCTTTGGGGACAGAGTGGATATCTAGTGTTTTTAACTGTGCGGCATCCCCTTCCTCTTCTAATGTTAATATCCTCTCCTCTTTCCACTCTATATGTTGGTGGAGGAGCTAGACCCCTTTCCAAGCTTTAGAGATAAGTGAAAAAACAAACAAACAAACACACCTCAGGTCTGGCCAGCAGGTTATAGTGACTAGTTCAGAGATGGGAACATATCTGAGTTAGGTTAATAAAAGGTCAACCCTGGGATTTCCTTTGCAATCACTGGGGAAAGAGGTGTCAAAACAAAGTAATCAAAAGATGAAGAAAAATGATTAGTTTCCTTTCTTGCACAACCAGGATTGCCTAAAGACACAGAATAAGTATGACTCCAAGATGCATTCCCAGCTTCTCTTTCGGTTCCACACCTTACATGATCCTACATGTAATTTCTGCATTTCTTTCCACACAAATGATAAAAAAATCTTTAAGCCAGAATAAGTACTAACTGGTTATAATAAATTTAACTGTATCTACTGCAAACCTATGTCAATTAGTAGGTAAGAGGAATTAAACCCAAAATATGTTTCTAAAAAGTATTTTCAATCAAAGGAATTAAATTTGATATAAAGGAAAGCTAAAACTAGCAGATGTTTGATTTAAGGTTACATTATAGCCTTGTATTGTTTTTTTTTTTTTTGAGAAACGTTTCTTTTCTTCACAGCATGAGAACTGTCAGCAATGAGACCTAAACGGCAATAGCAGAAACCACAGGCATGTAAAATATCAGAGATCAAAGAAGGAAAAGGAAAAATCAGATTTTAGAGTGACTGTGTTATAGAAATGGGACCTAATGGGAATGTTATCCATAGAAAGGTCAGTTCTCATATATTCTGCTTTGCAGTATGTTCTGCCACCAAATCAACATAAAGTCATATATGAAAGTGAGAGGCTGAACAAATTCTAAAGAAAGCAACAAGCGGCTTCTACAAAAATCAAGGGGTGCTGGCAGTTAATGGCAGTCCCAGCTGACTTCTGTGAAAAGACAGCTACAGCAAATCTCATAGCTCAGAAAGAAATAAGATACAGCTTCAGTCTACCATCTGCTGGTCCCAGTTTTACTCTGCACACTCATATTCATGGAACTGCTTTTTTTGTCCTCAGACACGTCCATCCATCACCAGCCTCCACCCTCCCCAATCAGTTGCTGGTCAGCAGAATGACCACCTGTCTCATCCTGTCAAGTTCACACACTGAAACAGAAATGAAGCAGAAATCATGGTCTATGTAATATAGCAAGCAACACAGGCCAGGAAACGCCTCTCTTTTAAGTATTAGCCTCTATAGCAGTGATGGTGAACCTATGGCATGTGTGCCACAGTGGGCTGGTTTGTATCACTGAAAGCTTTAAAGGGTTCACCATCACTGCTCTAAAGCCTCATCAAAGAGCTGAAAGAAAACACACACACACACACACACACACACCTCGAATAGACAGGGTAGAAGAGAACACTATAAATTTAACAAAAGCATTGTTGACCAGTGAAGGACTCATGAGCAAAACTGAAACTTTTAAAACACTGTATATAAACAACGTGAAAGTAATGCAAAGACAATTTAACTGAAATATTAAATATTTATTCCTGAATGGAAACATCCCTAAACTCTCTGTGGTTTTCTTTTCCACAATTCTTTTTTAATTCACTCAGAAAAAACAAATTCTAACTTCCTAGTAGAAGAAAGATAAAACTATAAAATGTGAAAAGCAAATGTAAAATAGGATTTGGAGGGGAAAGGGAGGGTTGAGTGACATAGAACAGCTCATGACACATACTCTGTCCAGGTTACCAGTCAATAATGACTAAGATTAAATTACACCATGGGTCTGGTCTGCAATGTTACCTTGGGCTTAAAGCTATGATTAACCTTGGCTGAGCTATTCATACTTTAAAGTACAAGCCCTAGAATAGAATCTAAAATGTAAACAAGATAAATTTCCACTAAGGTAACTCTTAAATCAGAATACAAGTTTAAGGGATCACACACCAAAAAAACATTTCTTCTGTTTCATACAAATTTTGTATCATTTTATTTTTGTATAAAACAGCACTAAGAATCATACAGTTGGAGTAAAATATTTCTTTCACAGATAATCATTAAAATCTTTAGAGCTACTTGGTAGTGGTTAATTTCATCAGTTTAATTATACCATCTATGAACATAACTGCTAAATGAAAAGGAAGCGTGTCCAGTGTCACAGAACACAGGGTTTACTATTCCTAGTTAGCTAGGTTAAGTGCAACCGAGACACCATAACCACTACACCTGACCTTTTTTATATGTAAGTCTGCATTAAACTCTAGAGTTGCAAGACAGGCAATTTTTTTTTTTCCCTACAAAAATTTTCTGTAAAACGTAAAAGGTGTATCCCCATGAGCAATTTTATCTCTTCCTTTAACTCATTTCTTTTTATCTGGTATTCCAGGGCCGGTACCTAAGTCCCCCTAGCACACTGTTTAACAGGAGCAAAGACAGCATACATTGTTTTTATTGTTGTTGTTGTCTTTTGTTTTTTTCTGATTTTAATGGGATGGCTTCTACAGTTTTGTCATTAAATATGATTGCTCACTACTTTTTAAAAATATTCTCCTGATAAGGATAAAGAAATTTCAGATCCCTTTTAATCCAACTTTGCTTAAAAGGCCTTTTATTTCTCTTGGTTAATTATGAAATTTATCAATGGTTTTTGTCATTGAAATAATCATTTTTTTCCCTCTCCTTTGAATTCTTCATTGTGGAAATTCATACCAATTACATTACAAAATTCTATTTCTTTAGAATATTTTATTTGTATTTGCTTAAACTGTAACTGCTCTTTTTTTACACTTGATCTTAGCCAAAAGGCTGAGAAGCGATTTGTAACTGATCTTTTTTAAAAAGAAAAAGTTTCCAGTGTTGTCCATATCCAGAGTTTCTATTAGTCTCCTTAAATGAATTGCTTAGTTTTCTCCCTTTTTTATTTTTTGTTTTGTTGTTGTTGTTATTGCTGTACTGGGGATTGAACCCAGGGCCTTGACACTGAGTGACATCTCAGTCTTTTTTATTTATTTTCAGACCAAGTCTAAGTCATTAAGCTGCCAACATGTACCTTAGCCTCCCAGAGTCCTGGGGATCATAGGTGTGTTACAACACCTGGTTTTTGTCTTTTCTGACATAGCTTATATAATCTAGAGGTTAATTTATTCTGTAAAGGCATGAAAAAACTTTCCTGTAAACTTTCTAAGTCTTAGTGTCTTCTGGTAGGGAAAAGAGGGGGAAAGGAAGATTCTGGTTACTGATTCAGTTTCTTCAGTGAGTATAGGTTACCTGGATCTTGAGTTGATTTCAGTTTATATTCATCCAGAAAGCCTTATCATTCATTTCACATTTTACCTAACTGTAACATTCATTTACCTATAGTTATTCACAGCACTTTGAGACTCACTGTAATATACCTTAGATCATAAAAACCCACACATTGGCCATAAGCACTGATTATTTTTGTTCCATCAATCTGGCTAGATGTCATTATTTTATTAGTTTTAAAATTAATCCTTTATAAGAACTAGCATTTTGAATTGTTGGTGTATTTCTTAATTACTTTTTTTGCTTTCTTCCTTTACTTTTCTTATGCTGATTCTATAGTTTTCTTCAGTTAAATCCTCTATGTTTTCATATTTGTGTTCTTAAGGATATAAATTTATTTTTACTCCTTTACCTTCTGTTTTAGTATATAAAGCATTCATCATCTCTAAGTCCTAAAATTTATAATTTCTATTGTAATAGAATTACATGAATTATATTAATTCTATAAAGTAGAAATTTGTAATTTCTATTATAAAATTTCCTGTTCAATATTATTATTATGGAGGGTGTTTTAAAGTTTTTATGAATTTAAAAAAGACTTTTAATGTCAATTTCAACTTTAATTCCATTATGGTCACAAATGCCATCTACTGAAACAATTATGAACCTTTTCTCCTTTAATTACATACACAGATGACTTTTATTAATACTTGGGAATTTTAAAAAATTACCTTTATGATGTAGTGCATGATAAACTTTTGTAAATGTTCTATGCATATAGATAATAAGAGAGTGTATTCACCATTGTTTTTTATTTGTTTGTTTGAGACAGGGTCTCACTATGTAGTTTAGACTGACCTGGAACTCACTATGTAGCCCAGGCTGGTCTCGAACTCACAGTGATCCTCCTGCCTCAGCCTCCTGAGTGCTGGGATTACAGGCATGCGCCACCACGCCCAGCACACCATTGTTTATTGAAAATGTATATAGCTGGTTTTGTGTTGTCAATATTTTTCTTCTTTTGGGGAGCAGGAACTTTAAAAATGAAAGTATCAAACAAGGTACAGTGGCCCATGTCTGCAATTCTGGCACTCTGAGAAGCTGAGGCAAGAATATCAGAAGTTTGAACCCAGTCTGGGTAACTTAGTGACTTAGTAAGACCCTGTCTTAACATAGAAAATAAAAAATACCTGAGGATGTAGCTCAGTGCAAAAGCCTAGGCTCAATCTCTAGTACAACACACACACACACACACACACACACACACACACACAAATACACACACAAAACTGTGGACACACAAAATATTTATTCATCAAAAACACTGTTTTTTTTTTTTTACATTTTTAAAGGTTACATTTATAGTCACGAATGCTGGCAAACTGTTTCTTTGAAAGATTATGTAGTGGGTCTTCTAATCCTTTAGTATTTCTGCCTCAAAATTCTATTTTGTCTGATAATAATATTACGGTACTAGTTTTTTGCATTTTATTTTCCCATTTGATAATCTTTGACTTCCAACATGTTAATTTATTTACATTTATTGTGATAAACTGTATGTTA